TAACCATCCTTTCGTGTTCGAATAAGCCGATATTTATAGCGATTAAGTAATGCAAGTGGTTTTCCTTTTTCCGAAAAAATAAACTTCACTTCGTTATTGATTTCCATATTGACTACTTAAAAATTTGATTTGTATAACACACCGCACTTTACAACTTAAGACATTTACAAAGTTACCAACTGGCGACAAGCGACTATATATTTTATAATAATAAACGGGTTTGAAACCCTTTTGAAAATGTATACAAATTACATAATTACAATAACATTCATAACAGAGCATAAAGTTTAATAACAAATAATGATAGATAAATAAGCTTAATTAGATTTAAGTCATTAAAGCGGATTATTATTAAAAAACGAAAAAAGATTAACAAATAGTAAAATTAAAGATTTATTGAGGGATCCTCATTTGCCATTAACATTAAACCCTTAATATCATTTTTCATATAATTGCTTGGACATATAGGGACATGAAAAGGAACTCTAGAATGGCTTTGACGGGGAGAGACCTTGAAATTCGGTAAGGATAATAAATTAGATAAATCAACTTGACCAGACAACAGTCTTTTTAGAAACTCTACGCAAATCATTTGCCTGCGTTCAGCTAAAGAGATGAGACCTAATTTAGCAGCAACAGCTGAATAATCGTGTGGAGGGTGTTCAATGTCTAATAAGAAACCAGCAAAACGAAGAAACCGGCGTTGAAATCTTTCAAGTTGGAGAGAGTCATTAGCAGTAAAATAAGGACTCCAAACAACCACGCCGTATTCTAATATATGTCATACTAAAGTACAATATAGAAGTTTAAATGACGAATCTAAATCCCTAGTCAGGCTGTTGATAAATCCAAGAATTTTCAAGGCCTTACAACATACCATGTCAATATGTGGTCGTAGATCAAGTGAGCTGGTAAGCCTAAATCCAAGATCAATAACAGATGCATTAGCACGTACAATTTCAGAGCCTAAAATATTTTAGGAATAAATTATTTGTGAACGACTGCCTGTGTATGTAAAAATTTTACATTTAGATATATTTAATGATAAGGCAATATTATTAAACCAGTTGATAAAGATATCCTGGTAACTTTGGAGATGAAGACAATCATCAATAGAACCAACATTCAGGAATAGTTTAATATCATTAGCGAAGCTCAGAATACGAGAACGACGTACTATCCGGCTGATATTATTAACCCAAAAGAGAAAGCAATAAGGGAGACAGATGTCCATTTTGATGAATGTCAGAGGATGCTAAAAACAGCTTAGATTTGGTTCCAAAAATATTTACCCATTGATATCGATCACTAAGGTATGAGGTAAGCCACGACAATATGGCTCACCAAAGCCATAACTGCTAAGAATTTTAACAAAACCTCATGATCAACTAGATCAAAAGCTTTATTAAAGTCAGTATAAACCACATCAACTTGCAAACGCTGTTGGAATGATTCAAATACAAAGTTATTAAATAGGAGATTGCATGTTGTAGTGGAACGACCATAACAAAACCCATGGAGCTCCTCCATTAGAATATTATTAACTGGGCGTTGAATTTCCGTTAAAACTAACGATTCAAATATTTTCGCAATATCAGATTGAATTGAAACAGATCTATAATTTTAAGACTGATGAAGGAGTACCCGATTTAAGATTATTATTCCATATTTAAATCATTAATCCCCAGTGTTATCTATTAGTATTTTTATTAACTAAACTTTTCAAAGCCCATATCATGCGTTGCGGCCTATGGGTCATCACATGAGTATTCTTTTCATAAGATGGGTGTAAGTCCCTAAAAAGACCGAAAGCTCACAGTAAATTTATTTTTATATTAAATATTTTACCTGCGATTTTAAGATCATCTAGAACAACTTTTTATATCGTTTGTTGAAACTGTGTTAATTCGGATATATTATTTACAAATAGTGGTGGTATTTGCGAGAGATAATCAGTTTTGTATTTGAGTATTGCAGTTGTTTTGATTTATATTTTGAGCGTTGGACGCTGTATCAATTGTATTTGAACGTGTATCTGCTTGGTCAGTTTTTCATATAATAACTAATAAGCAATTGAGTGTGGTAAAAATGTTCTAATGTTCAAATGATCAAATAATGTTTTGTTAGTTTTTATCAGTGACAGGGGCGAACGCAGGGGGGCCCCCTTCGAAATACCAGGTACAAAAAATAAATTATCTGACCTATAAATGTATTACAAATAAAATTTCAAAAAAATTAAAATAAATTATTAGTTATTAAAAGTTTAAGTTTCCCTTCTCCTGTGGTTTGTAAATATTAATGTATACAGTAAAATTACCATTAAAATGTATGATAAATATTACAGTATGTTATAACTTATTAATAAGTAATAACTAATCGACATCGGTGGCTGCCAATTCGATGATGTACGTAATAGATTAAGTACGAGGTACTATACTAGTTGGATCCCGAATTATTTTTGGTATTCTACTAGTTCCAGAATACTTTTTAACATTTTTAATATTTTTACCAACACAAAAATGATTTATTTTTTATAAAATTCTAATAACTTATATTTTAATGGAAAAGAAACAAAACAAAAAAAAAAAACTGTAAAAAACATATTTAACCACGATTAAAGTATATCTTTAACCGTGTTTTTAACCATACTTGTGGTCTAAATAGATTAAGATAGTCCTAAGTCTGTTAAAATGGGAAGGAAAATGTTAGTTTAGTGTAGTACTTAACAAAAATTATTCAAGAACTAATGTTGTAGCTAAAATAATTTAGGACCCAACTAATGTACTAACTATAAAAATCCGGGACCCAACTAGTATACTACCTACAAAAATCCAGGACCCAACTAGTGTAGCAATTTTAAATTTTGGACCCAACTCGGATGCAGCCGAAATTCGCTAAGACCCGTCTTATCTAGAATCTAGATAATTCTATAAATTATATCATTGTTCAATAATGTTATAATTTAAATTGAATTGACAAATTTTAATAATTAATTATTAATCTATGATATGTAATAATATGTATATGTATAATGTATATAGTATAAGTGCCTA